AATCCTCGGCCCTCCTCCTCGTCCTCTCCTCATTTAACTCGCTCTGTATTCGTTTCCTCTGTCTCGTCCCTCTCCTGCAGCCTCCTCTTCCTCTCTGGACCAGACGCTGAGCTGCAGACTCCTCTTCGTCCTCCAAGCGACCTCTGGCTCCACCGGGTCCCGCGTCAGATGTTCCTCCCCCACCATGACAGTGGAACGCGATGAACCCAGACCGGTGGAGCTGGAAGGAGCTGAATGCTCCTCCCATGAAGAGGCAGCAGACCTCCTTGAGCTCCTCTGGTTGAAGCCGGATGGTGCAGCTGACCTGGAAGAGCTCCCGGATTGGACGGTGGAAAGATGCTCCGTGTCCTCCTCTGAATCTGTCTTGGAATCGTTGTTGGGTCTTGTTTGACTTTCTGCCGGCCCTGTGACTCTGCAGGTAGCTGTGAAGATGTTTACAATTTAAAACGAATGTCTTATGTCAATGTGTCATGTTTAGTTGCTGTGCCTGTTTCCAATGTCTTACCAACAACAAACTCCTTGTGCTTCAGGCCTCCTCTCCTTCTCCTCCCGCCCACTTTGTCTCGCTCGTCTCTCTCCTCAATTGTCTTCACTCCTCCTCTTTCCCCTTCTCCGTCTCTCATCCTCCTTTTCTGAAAGACAGGAAAGAAGCTGTGGAGCTGAATGGCCTCATGCCATGCATGTCTTCGGATGAATCCAGATGTTTCTACCTGGCGTGTTCTTCACACAAATGACAATGTCTCGCAGGCTTTAAAATGAACATCACTGACCACTGATGGGAGAGCAGAACGTCCCAGAGTCCCCGATTGAGTATCACTTCCAGACTTTTGCCTCTGCCGTCTTCCTTCCCCTAACGGACAAGGAAGTCTAACAGCGCTCTGAGGCTTCTCTATCTCTCTTTCCTAAACAAATGGAGGACGAGGCTGCGGGTGAATTTGGGCTGATTGTATTTGACTCAGAAGTATCCGCCATGTTTAAATCTGTTAAGAGTTTTTTGAGTGCTTCCTTTTCAGATGCCTCCTCTCCTCCTTCTGTCCACAGCGTCCTCTTTTGGGCCGATGTCCTGCTGGCTAAATCATCTTTAAACAGCCACTTTACTCACCACAAACAGACAAGCTGCAAGTCCCGTGGGACGCAGGTGGTCTGCAGAATCCGAAAGACTTCAAAATTGGATTTCAAAGAGGTAAAATTCTATGCACCATAACCTGAACATTGATCCACAACTCTGATAAATAGCACAATGGCATCTATTAGAAAGATGGAAATATTCAATAAGTTATTTTAATTGTATCATGTTCATCAATTTGATTTCAAAATGTTTTGACAAATGTAGGCAACTTTATCGCAGCTGGGCGGATAAAATTGAAATGGTTGTCTTTGGTGCAGAAGAAGAAACCCTCAGCTTGACGCTCTGTTCGCGATATTGAACATATATATTCTGAAGTCTTGGTGTAAAGTTGTGAGTCATGAGGGAACTCAGCTGGCATACATACGTCAAGGTGAATGTGAATCGTACCGACCCTGATCCAGACTGGCTGGTCTGTCCTTTGCTGCTCAGCTCGGCCTCTTCGTCCTCCTCTTCGTCCTCCTCTTCTGCCTCAGTGTTGCCTCCTCCTGGCGCCTCCCTCCCTTCCTGCTCCATGCTCATAAAGTTCTCAGCATCCTTTTCACATATTTCCGACACTCTTTCTGCACCCTGTGTCTTTTTCTTGGTCGCTGTTGCTGGATCGACAAACCAAAGGTTTGGTTAAATTTGTTTCAGTTAAAACTATGATGAAATAAGCAGTAGGGATTTACCTGAGTCCTCGTGGCTGCTGGATGAACACGCATTCGTCTCTGTCGATCCGGGAAGATCTAAGAGCTGGTTGGAGGGCAAAATTAAAAATATGGGTAGATGCTAAAAGTCTAGAAAGTAAACTCATATCTTCGATTCTTGTTTTTTTGAACAATCTTTTCCACGTAGTAAGCAAACAAACACAGTTGAATCTTTAAAAAGTTAGTTAAAAGTCCCAAATCACCTCGTGCATGGAGCGATGGTGCGAGATGACACCGGCAGGGACATCCGAGTCCATGTCCTCTTCTTCATCTGCACGCATCAATGAGTCAATGGTCAGAGCAGGAAGTGAACACACCCAGCGACGGGTTATGACAACTCACGACAGCATAAACACAAAAGAAAACAGCAGGACACTGGAAGACCAAAGTACCTCAATGACATATGTCATTAAAAGGTTTTCACCGAAATCTACGCTGAAGCAGAAGTAAAGAGTGAAGCCAACAGAGAGAACTGTAGGCGTCGTGTGTGTGTGTGTGTGTGTGTGTGTGTTCACAGACCTGTATGTGTGTGTTCGGGCTGCAGCACAATGACCCGTGGCTTCTCTCCTTCAGTAGACCAAACCCGCAGAGCTGAGAGACCGAAAGAGAGAGTTATTGACAACTACTCCGCCCTAATGCTTTATTGAGACCCAGGTTACGACCTTACGCCCCCCCCTCAACACATAAAGGGCACGGCTTTCGGTCCTCCTGAAGATGGACGTTTTGAGGGCGCGTTGAGGGTACCTTGCTCCTTTGCGGGCCCGTCGGGGGGACGGGGGTCCCGGCCGTGGCTGTACAGCGACAGCTGTATGATCTCCCCATCAGGACCCAAGATCAGGCAGCCCACGGGGGCCTCGTTCTGTAAATCTGACACAGCACGACTCAAAATGAGGTGCCCTGTCAACCATGTATGCACAGTGACATTGTGAGAACATCATTATAGGAAATACTTTTCTAAGAGAAAGCAGCGCCGGGGTTTTTACAGAAAGGTTTGCGTTGCACTACAGGCTGCTCAGTTTAGTTTAATGTAAAAGGCAACAGATGAGAAACAGAACTCTTTACTTGCTGAGAACTAGTTAACATAGTTTTGTGTGCTGTAGTTTAGCCTCCATACCTCTGAGCTCCAGAGGCAGAACGCCCCTCACCACGCCTCCCTTAGCCCGGCTGGGGCCACAGGGAGCCTGCAGGTTCTGTAGGAAGGCCAAAGGGCTCGGTTTGCTCGGGCCTTTCCGCCCTGCAACCCGACCCAACTCTCCCACTGGAGGAGAAGACAGTGAGATGGACATGAAGATCACGGGGAACTTTTGGACAGATTATTCTCCAGCTGGATTGTAGCGCGTGTTGGATCCCCAATATAAACGTTCTAAGAAGTAACAGTGGTCATTTCCTCACCGGATGTCTCAAAAGGTGCAAAAAACATGACCATATGAATAACCAAAATCTACTGCGAGTGTGTGTGTGTGTGTCGTCTTCCTAACGTAGAAGAGTGCTTTTACCCTCCGTCCCTGGAAGCAGCAAAGGGAGAAACAGAGGCTGATGATCGAGTTTATTTCCTTTGGATTGAACCTCCTTGGCCGTTGATGGGGCTTTCTGCTGGGTCCGAGGCTGGCTCACCAGGCCGGTATGACCCTCCACTATTGGAGGGAAGCGACTTGCACGTGGTACGTCACCGCTGGCAGCCTCCCATTTGGGCTGAAAAGTACAACAGAGGCATGTCTGCTATTTGGTTCTCACAAAATGTATCGCCACGTACCACCTCTTACCCTGTGTGTCCTCTCCCGAGACGGTCCGCTGGCGTTTGAGTGTCTCTCTGTCAGAGGAGGATGGAGGCCTGGTGGCAAAGAAAGCAAACAGAGCACCATGTTCATCCACATACACTGTAGGGGGAGTTGTACCGGGCCAAGGTTTGGTCTGAGCTCCAGGTATGGTCTGAGCTGCCATGTCTCGGACCTTCATACCTGGGTGATGGAGCTCTCTTCCCATTCTCAGGTGTTTTACTTCAGTGGGCTGCGGACCGGCGTCTATGCAAGTCTGCAGTTGGTAGGAAAGTTAATAAAGCATCATTACAGCAGTTTGCATACATTTTGAAAGATAAAAGGGCATTTATAAATGTAGATTCAACTTCTGTCAGTAGCATTTCACCTGAGTCCTTTCTGGCTCCTCAGGGGTAACTGCTACGTAGTGTGCCCAGGGCTGAGGCTCCATCCGTGGCATCGTAGTCCTGGAGGTGCAGGGTATGTGGAGGAACAGATCCGGCCCGACACTCTTTTTGCTGCCCTGCTGCTCTTCTATATGTGTAGATATACGTCATTTCAGGATCCAAGCACACGAGTTAGCATTCAACCGGTTCACTGGGAGGCATTTGTCCACTTTGTTAGTTTCTTTCAGTAAGAAGTAGGAATGTTTTACCAGAGCTGCAGCTTCGGTAGATGGATAAAAAAAAATTGTTTAACATCAAATTGCTTCTGTTTAGCCTGCTCACACAAAAAACTGGACTTTGAATAACCACTTACATAATTTTGCATTAACCAGTATCTTTTACCTTCAGGTTGGTTCTCCGGTTGTGCAGAGCGCCCCCCTGCAGGGAGCCGCTGGAGGGTCAGATGGGCCAGCAACTCTGGACTGGACGGCTTTTGAGTCGTGGACAACGCAGGACTGAGGCGATGGCGGTTCGGAGCAAGACGGCGATAAAGAGGACGAAAGAAGTGTGGACCGAGAACTGGAGGGAAGACAATTTGACTTCCATGAGCACACAGTTGGCCACAAGAAGGCAAAGAAGACACAATCTGACAGAGGCACAAGAAAATTTGACGGTTCGGTAGGAGAATCAAATTGTCAATATAAAACTTTTTACCTGAGTGTTGCTGTTGTTCTCAGCGGCTGTCCCACGACCCTCCGCTTCCTGTCTCTGGGGGACAACTGCTTTCCAAAGGAACCAAGTTCTGGAGGCACAAAAGGTCAACCTGAACACTGAACGGTCTATGAAGTCCACGTCGTGTTAATTGTGTGGACCGTGTAGCGTGTACTACACACACAGATACCTGGGAGTGGAGTAGAAGCTGCTCCCTTCGGGTGCTGTAGGTCTTTGGAAGGGCCGACTCTGCCTCCGTCAGCAGACGGCCGCTGTTGGATAGACGCAGCAGGGAGTCCTGTGACCTCCAGGCGTGGTAATCCTGTTGGTTGAATGGTCGGTTTTATTGATGACAAATGGCACGATGGATTGATTGAATTGTAGATGAACAGATTCATTGGTTAAGGATGCTAAATTGCAAATACAGCGAATATGACGTAAGGATGTGCCTCCATATGGCTCTCAAAATGGCGACGGCTAAGCTAGCAGTTAGCTGCTCGGACTTTGCCGCAATGTGAATGCACCTTTACTTGGTTATTTTGCACAAATGTGACGATGAAATGTGAATCCAAATTGCAACTTAAGTTATTTCATTACTACTGTACTCGTTGGAAGTGATCCCAGTTGAGTTTGTGTCACCTGCGGTGTGAAGCAGACGTCCACCCGTCCACCGCGTCTCCTCTCGTTTCCTTTGGACGCCACAAATCGATCACACCCCCGACTGAGTCAGGACAGGTGCAAATCCTTCATGATGTCTTATCGTCCTAAAGGAAGGCCTTGTCACAGTTAATTCCAAAGATTCAGAGCGAAGAAAGATAAAGATGATGGTTCTCTTTCTAAATGGCAATGACTTCATTTCTCAAAACAAAACTTGACTATTAGGTCAAAGTAAGTGTAGAGTTGTCTTTTCTCCCTTAGTCTCGGTTGCTTTCTACATATTTGTTGAGGGTTCTTAATTTCCTTTATAGGTGGAACTCTAAGTGTGAATTAGGTTGAATTCTTTGTGTGTTGTTACTGTGAGAGACTTCTTCTCACCCACGAGGGTGTAAAAGGTCATGGCTGAATGAATGAAGATGATGCATGCATGTTGAGCATAAGTAAATCAAAATTCCAGTTGAATGCACTTCACATTTAGACGTTAAAGAATTGAGCTCATTCTCAGTGTTTCATGATGTTTCATCGTCCACAGATGACAAACATCAGAATAAACTCAATTTCCTCAATCATAAATATTAGAAGGTAGCAGTGAGGAGGTCAGGGATTAGAGCCCTAAAAAATAAAGAAAGAATATCGTTGAATAAAGACGGTGAGGAAGGTGGATTCACATTTAGTGTGTCGGTATATTTAATCAAACGACCCGTTTTCCTGATTTGGATCATGTTTAACGGCAGGAACAAGCATTAAAGCGACAAAAGATTGGACGTACCTGCTTCCCCCCTTACAAGGACGGCCTTCTGTGTGTATGTGTGTGCGCGTGTGTGTGTGCATCTGTGTGTGTTAAATCCCAGTTGCTAGGTTAAGTCAGTAGCCTGCGTGTCAGTTGCCCTGGCTGCAGTAACACATATTTGCACACACAACACTCACACGCACAAAGAATATGAGACTTCGATCAAACCGTATAAAATGGGAGGGGGAAGCTGATTGAGGGTGTGGGAGCAGGCGGTTGGGTCAAACAAACACAGGACTTGCAACTGGTAGACAAAATGTTCTTTTTTTTGGTTAATTTTGTCCTGGTAGTGACGTTGGTGACGTGTTTTTTTCTTCTACATATTTTCAGTGCAGAGCTGAACTCAGCTTAATCTACGTGGTATTAGATTGTACTCCCTGGGCGATTTACACTCATACATTCCTGGATGCAAGTTCATCCGGGGGTCAGTGTGGCCAAGGCCTCATTTTCTTATGGCTTTTGTTACGGCTGCTTACATGATCTAAATGTTTAATTTGAGAGTAGATACTGCCATCCGCCGGCAGCTATTAGAATGACACCAGTGTCAAAAACGAGAGCTGGGGAGCTTTTCATTAATCAGGGAGAGATAGAATGCTTTTCATTATAATAACCAAAATATGTGTGTGGGATTATAGTCAAAATACGTACATTTATGTTAACAGTTGCAAATGTAGTGTATTTGGAATATATGTGTGTTGAGCTGCAGTATTCTTTTATTGATCTCCTTTCTCAAAAGCTCATTTGATGTCTGCCAAATGTAAGACGATATTGCACAACTCCCTACTGCTGAAACAGCTCTTCTTTCAGAGTAATGCACCTACGCAAGTGAGAGGTGATTTGATGCACTTAAGTGAAACAATTTGTCCATAATGTGGGACCACTTCACATTTGACCAAGATTAAACATGTTTCCTGAACCTCCTCCAGCTGTAACCAGCTGATAGAATCATCACTACTAATTGGCCACATAGCCAATCACAGCCCTCTCTCTCTGTCTCTCTCCCCATGTGACTCCCCCCACCATGTGTCCTCTCCTAACCAATGCTGTTACAAACCGTACTGCTGGCAAAGCCCGGCCTCCTGCACCCTTTTTATCTCAGAGTTCACTTTGCATAGCAAATGGTTGAAATGGTATTCATTGTTTAATTCTGGCTCGTTTGTATCAGGAGTGGGGGGGGGGCTTGAACCCAGTGCTCCCCAAAGCCAAATATAACTGAACTTCCAAACCTCCCAATAAATGGATCATGTTGTAATGATGAGGGTGATCCTGTGTGAACATTAACACATACTTACATACATATTCTTTCATGTTGAGGTTTAACTATACGAAAGGATGCTCATTTAAACTAAAGCAGATTTCACAAAATGTGCTTCACAATAAAAGACGCGAGAGAGAGGCCCGTTGCTCATGGGTCTGGACTACCGGAGTGGTGCAGGAAGCTACTTCTTTCAGGTTCTAAGCTCTAGTATCCACGCGACTGATGAGCGAGATGAGCCGTCTAAGATAGATAGGTAGCACCAGCTGGAAACCCCCCCCCTCCTCGTCCAGGCGCTCTGAAGCGCCTTATCCTCTTCCTCTCTCTGAATGTACTTCATCCAATCCCTATTGTTTTTTTGGTCATGGGGATAGTGGGAGGAGCGAGATATGATCGTTTTTATGACCGAGAACTTTGGTCAGAAAGCTGCGAGAGCTCATCAGCCTCTCGCCCACTTCTCTCGCTCTCTGATGATGGAGACACTCGAAGGGGCTGAACTCTGCTTTCCACAACTGCTCAACACCTCCTGCAGGAAGCCCGGCCGGCACGCCGCTGAGGCCGTATTCCTTTACGTCCTTCTGTCTTGCATGTCTCTGCTCACTGTGATTCTCAACCTGCTGGTCATCATTTCCATCTCCCACTTCAGGCACGGAGAGTAACTTGCAGGCACATCGTGTGTTTGTTCATCTCAACATCAGGCACTTCCCGTTACATTAGGAGAGGATAATGAGTGGAGACGGTTTAGATCATTTTACCGTAACTTATTCATGAGGAAAGTATGTTCAGATGCATTTACTGAGTATTCTTTAACTGCTTTAAGGATATACGGTCTAAATGTATTATGATGATACCTCCCATGTTAGTTATCAAATATAACCAGTATTATGAATATTGAAAGAAATGTTTGATTCTTTGACTTATCATAATTTTTATCGTTTATAATGTTCTTGTGACTTCCATAACTGCTACGTGATGTCGTTGCTCCTGTGCAGGCAGCTCCACAGCCCCACCAACCTCCTCCTCCTCTCCCTGGCCGTCTCCGACCTCCTTGTGGGCCTCCTGCTGATGCCGGCTCAAATCCTCCTTTTGGGGGGCTGCTGGATCTTGGGCAGCATGATGTGTGGGCTGTTTTATTACGCCTCTTTTATCCTCACGTCGGCCTCAGTGGGAAACATGGTGCTCATTTCCATTGACCGATATGTGGCCATTTGTGACCCCATGTGTTACCCCACCAAAGTCACTCACAAAAGAGTCCAGGTCTGCATTTGCCTGTGCTGGTTTTCTTCTGTTTTCTACAATGGCGTGATACTGATAGAGTTCCTGAAACTTCCAGATAGTTTTAATTCCTGCTACGGAGAGTGTGTGGTTGTAATAGACTTCATCACAGGAGCTGTTGATGTCTGGATGACCTTTGTTGGCCCCGTTTCGGTCATCGTAGTTCTGTACATGAGGGTGTTTGTGGCGGCTGCGTCTCAGGCTCGAGCCGTGAGGTCTCACGTTGCAGCCGTCTCAGTCCAGGGTTCCCTTGGTGTCACCGCCAAGAGATCTGAGCGGAAAGCAGCCAGGACCCTCGGCGTTGTTGTGGTGGCGTTTGTAATATGTTTCTGTCCTTATTTTTATCCCTCTTTTGCAAGCAAAGCGATGTCAACCAGTATGGTGTTTTCTATTTTTGGGGTGTGGCTGCTTTATTGTAACTCTTGTCTAAATCCAGTGGTGTATGCTTTCTTCTACCCATGGTTCAGGAGATCCATCAAACGCATTGTCACGCTTCAGATACTGCAGCGTGACTCCAGTGATGCCAAAATAATGTAGTTATGGATGTTATTAGAGAACCTTTGTTAGGGGGTTTTACCTACTAAGGAGCACTTTTTCATTGTTAATTGATAGTTCAACATATTGTTTATGTCTTTGGATGACTGAATTTAACAACTTGATACCAAGAAATGTATGTTTTAATCTCTAAAAGCACCCTGAACTGGAATATGAAGAAAGTTATTTCCCCTTAATGTTGTTGAAGTGGCTTCACCATGAATGTATATTTTGCTCATTATACAAATGGACCTATTTGCTCTAAAACGCCACCATCTTTAAATCCGGTTGCAAACCCTGTTTCATGTTGTATTTTGTCAATTGATTACCAAGTCATCAAGCACCATGAAGGTTATACAGACACAAATGAGAAATAATTGATATTTGACAATAATTGATTGTGTCAATTGGGTATTGATTGAAATGATTATCAGCTAATATGTAGTGACAGATCAATTTGCAGACACGTTAAGTTGTTTTTATTATCAACATCATTTTGACGTGAGAGAAAAGCAGTTGGGACTCTCACTCAGAGTATGTGCGATAGAACAAACAAACATTATTTATTTGTCTCTATGTTAAGTTGCCCAAACATGGTTAGTACTGTACATTTTATCTTTTTAAGCAACTCTGACTCGCAAGACGACATCAGTGTCTATTCTCCAAAGAATGAAGCCCGGCTGGAAACAGTGTGAGAAATGCAGCTGTTTGGACTCTTTAATTGTAATTTCAGACCGCCTAAAGGCTTCTATATTGAAATGTCAGAGAGGGGCGGGGCGGGGGGGGGGGGGGGGTCGTTAAAATCAATTCAATCCGGAGAGACTTGTTGAAATTTGAACAATGCTTTATTATAACGGGCATAATATGATATTGCAAGTTGTTTGGGGCTTGGCCTCCATCCTGCCGCAGGATAGACCAGGAGCCGGGATCTCGAGCAGAGACGAGGCGTATCCCCACCTTGGGGAGTCCAGACACTGGTGGTGGTGGTAGAGCCCAAGTTGCAATATCACCCATTATATTCAATAAACAAGGATTTCGGATTACAACAAATTGCGGCATTCGAGGATGATCTTCTCTATCATCAAAATAGATACATGTATTATATTTGTATAGCACAGGAAACTGTGCTCTCACCTGAGGGTGTTCACCCTGTACACCTCTGACTTCTGTTACAATACAAAGTCTTGCCACATGCAGAGGTTTTTAGACGACACTCCTATTGTGGGGTGTATCAGGGATCCCTAGGGAGGGGAGGACTTTGTGCGATGGTGCAAGCACAACCAATTACAACTGAACACTGCTAAGACCAAGGAAATGGTGGTGGATGTCCACAGGTCTAAACCCACCATGCTACCAGTTTCTATTGAGGGGGTCAATGTGGAGGTGGGAGGCACATACAAGTACCATGGGGTGATTCTGGACAATAAACTGGATTGGTCTGCCAACACAGACGCAAAAAAAGGGCAGAGCCGGCTGTACTTTCTGAGGAGGCTGCGGTCATTCAACGTCTGCAGGAAACTCCTCCAGATGTTCTACCAGTCCATCATCGCCAGCGTCCTCTTCTACGCGGTGGTGTGCTGGGGAGGAAGCGCTGAGAAGAAGGGTGCAGGGCGACTGGATAGGCTGGTGAAGACGGCTGGCTCTGTGGTTGGTGCTGAACTGGAGTGCATTACTAAAGGACCCTCACCCAACTGCTCACCATCATGGACAATGAAAGCCATCCCTTCTACAGTACTATCAGCCGACAGGAGAGTCTGATCAGCAGGAGACTGCGCTCGCTGCCATGCAGAACTGATTAAATCATTCATCCAACCTGCCAACACAACCTGCCAACCAAAGGTCCCTCACTAGAAAACGTTTTCTAGTGAGCCATGTTTACTGCCTATGGTAAGCCTTTTCCACACCCCCCAACTTGGCTATGTTGCCCCTCTGCACAACCCCCCCCCCCCCCGACTACTGGCTATGTTGGCCAACCACCCACTTTGCACAAACCCCCACCCTCCCTCTCTCCACCCCCAGCCTGAACTCTTAATGTGTGTTTTAACTTTCTTTTTTTTTTTTTTTGATAATCCTGTTATTGTTTACGTAAGTGAATATGATGCTGTATAATGTCAGAAGCTACCTGGATCCTGGATCTCCCCTAGAGAATCAATAATGTACTTATCTATCTCTATCTATCTACTTATGAATTATGTGGTGGTATAAACAGTCAAGACGGCAGTGTAGGTTAATAACTGCTGTTTAAATGTCATTTAACTGTTGGTGAGTTAATGATCAAGAAAATGGATATCCCCTTCAAATAAAGACATTTTAGCTGTAACTTTGATGGATTCCCTGTGATTGACAGCTTCGGGATGAGATTTTATGGCACGAGCCTCAGACATGAGATGATATGTACAATGTAATAAGGTCCCAGCGGGGACAACAGCTCCTTTAACAGTCGATCATAACAGCAGCTTGTAGACAGTACGAGGACGGATTAAGAGGCACTTTTCTTCTTGTTATAGCAACATTAGCAAATAATGAGTATTGTGTCATCTATGTGAAAATGAACCAAACAATCGTCGAACTGACCTGGAGGTGTCAGCAAAGAAACTACATTCAACTGGAGCATAAAATGATCCTTTTTATCTTACATTTCAGACGTGTTAACACAACTTGTGATTAAGTCCATGTTCACACAATTATTGCCAAAGCATTTTAATCACAATTCACATGAACTCAAAGGCACATATTTGTCAATCAGCAGGTATGCCTATTGAAAGCAGAATTTGTATTAGACCAACAGGTTTACGCTTGAACCTCGATGCTCAAGAACAACACCATCTGTTACATTTCCCCTCGATAAAGAACAACTCGGTGTAAAGTTTATACCCGCCTGTCACTATAGCACGTTGGCATCACAGGAGCCGGGCTTCAGAATCTGAAGTGTCAGGATGAGCTGGATGGATTTTCTGAACCAGGGGTAGAAAAAGGCGTAAATGACGGGGTTCAAACAGGAGTTAAAATGTGCCAGCCAGATCTCAAATGCAGCAGAAGAAGCATCGATTGAAGTGTCTTTGCCTGCCAGTGCGGGGTAATAGTAGGGACAGAAACAGAACAAAAAGACGAGTATCACCAAACCAAGAGTTCTAGCTGCTTTCATCTCTGTTTTCTTCACAGTCGTGGCCCCCGACCGTCGGGTTGTTGAAGCTGCAACACGGGACCGCATGGCTCGGGCCTGAGACAAAGCCACCACGAATACTCTCAGATACAGAACGATGATGCAAAGAATGGGTATGATGAAAGTGAAAACTAGGTCAGCTACTCCTGCAGCATAATTAATGATAACCACACACTCCCCCAAACAGGAGTTTGAACTGCCCGGTTTCTCCAGGTGATCATATAAAAGGAAAATCCTGAAGATAGCAGACCAAATCCAGCAGAAACAAACACAGTTCTGTACTCTTCTCTTGGTCACTTTGGTTGGGTAATGCAGCGGCTCACAAATAGCTATGTAGCGGTCAACTGATATGAGCACCATATTGGCTACTGATGCCGAGGTAATAACGTAGTCTACAAGATAATACGTCGTGCACAGAATGTCACCGAGGAACCAGCAGGCTTCTATGTAGATGATTTCCACCGGCATCAGCAGGAGGCCCACGAGGAGGTCCGAGACAGCCAAGGAGAGGATGAGGAGGTTGGTGGGGCTGTGGAGCTGCCTGCAGAGGAAGAACGACATCACTGAACACACTGTAATCATACAGCCAAAATGCGCATAGCTCCGTTAAACATGTTGAAGCAATGTGTGCAATTGCAAATGAAAAATTGTATCCATCAGAAATTGTAAATGACTGTCAAACAACCACAAAATATCTCCAGCGTCTCAGTGTGTTCATTTTTCTATTCAAGATTAAAACCATTTCATCTCATACGTCTCATACATATTATTGTATCGACCTAAAGTGGGAGATGGAGATGATGACCAGCACGTTGAGGACGACAGTGATGAGTGAGATGGAAGAAAGCAGCACGTAAACCAGCATGGCCTCAGTGTGTGGATGAGCAGGCTTCTTGCAAGAGGAGTTAAGCTGTGGAAAGCAGAGATAATCTCCTGGCAGGGTCTCCATCGGTGGAAAAGAGGAGCCGCTTTTCTGAACTCTCTGGATGCCGTGCTCGTTCATCACCCCCCGCCCACACGCCACGCTCCAACCTCAGGTTTTTATGGGGGTGGGGACGAATGTCCCCTGTCGCTGAATTACGTCATAATGCTGTTTAATATCTTCTCTTTGTATCTACGTTAATACATTTCTGTGCTCAATACCTGAAAAAAAATATTCACCAGTTTGCTGGCCCCGGAGGCAGAAATCCAACAACATAACCGGAACCCGAACCGGTGCCGAGTCCTACAACATCACCGAATATATTCACTTCACTTCATCAACCCTCTATCCAAATTACACCCTAGTTACCTTAAAGATACATACCAATTCGTCCATAAAATGTTAAAGTACCCGGTCAAAGTTTTCTCTTTTCCATTGACACAGACAGATTCCCTTTACACCAACATAGAAACTTCAGTAGGCCTCATTGCCATTCAGGACATTTTTAAACAGCATTCCGACTTGGCCAGACCAGACAAAGAACTGTTACAACTACTACGTATCACCCTGACTCTGAACGATTTTTCATTCAATAACAAACATAATCTCCAATTGTGTGGGTGTGCTATGGCCCGTAAGTATTCCCCTGCTTACGCAGATATATACCTAGCCCATTGAGAGAGAGCAGCCTCCAATAAACTGCAATACAAACCCCTCCTCTACTTACGGTACTTGGACGACATCTTCGACGTCTGGGACCACACTTAAGAGCACTTCCGCACATTTTTGGACACTTTAAATGCACATCACCCCAAAATAAAACTCCAACACAACCTTTTACACCTTTCAGTTGAGTTCCTCGATACAGTTCTTCCAGACATCCAGCGACCGGACCAAAACTTTGGCCATCAAGATATACTTCAAGGACACGGACCGGCACGCCCTTCTTCTACAAATCCAGTTATCCCCAATCCAGAATTGGTTACATTACATTACATGTCATTTAGCGGACGCTTTTATCCAAAGCGACGTACAATAAGTGCATTCAACCATAGGGTACAAACTCAGGAGAACAAGAAACAAGAAAGTGAAATTTCCTCAAATAAGCCAATTTACAATTTGCTATAGATGAGTGACGTTACAAGTACAATTTAAGTGCTACAATTTGTTAGTCTTTAGTCGAGGTAGAGTCTGAAGAGGTGTGTCTTTAGTTTGCGGCGGAAGATGTGAAGGCTCTCTGCGGTCCTGGTGTCTTCAGAGAGCTCGTTCCACCATTTCGGCGCAAGGACAGCAAAGAGTCGAGATCTAGTCGAGTGTTTTGCTCTCAGTGAGGGAGGGACGAGTAGTTTTGCAGATGCAGAGCGGAGAGTGCGGGTTGGGATGTAGGGTTTGACCATGTCCTGGATGTAAGCTGGACCCGATCCATTCACAGCATGGTACGTGAGCACCAATGTTGTGAAGTGGATGCGGGCAGCCACCGGTAGCCAGTGAGAGAGCGGAGGAGTGGAGTAGTGTGGGAGAATTTCGGAAGGTTGAAGACCAGTCGAGCTGCTGCATTCTGGATGAGCTGCAGAGGTCGAATGGCGGTGGCAGGGAGACCAGCCAGGAGGGAGTTGCAGTAGTCCAGGCGGGAGATGACAAGAGCCTGAATCAGTACCTGCGCTGCCTTCTGAGTGAGAAGGAGACGTGTTCTCCTGATGTTGTAGAGCGTGTATCTACAGGATCGCGTTGTCGCAGTGATGTTGGGAGTCAGGGAGAGTTGGCTGTCGAGTGTGACGCAAGCAAATCTTTTCCGGGAAAGAGAAGTAGTTCAGTCTTGTCGGGTTGATTTTCAGATGGTGGGCGGACATCCACTGGGAGATGTCAGTTAGACAGGCAGAGATCCGAGCCGCCACCTGGGTGTCCGAGTGAGGGAAGGAGAGAATTAGTTGGGTGTCATCGGCATAGCTGTGGTAAGAGAAGCCATGCGAGCGAATGACAGCGCCAAGAGAGTTGGTGTAGAGCGAGAACAGGAGGGGACCCAGCACGGAACCCTGATCCTCGCCAGGTTACCCGGTAGGTGCGGCCGTCGAGGTAGGATGAGAGAAGGGAGAGAGCAGAGCCTGTGACACCAAGTTCCTGAAGGGAGGAAATAAGGATCTGATGGTTGACCGTGTCAAATGCAGCAGAGAGGTCCAGAAGGATGAGGACAGAGGAGAGAGAGGCGGCTCTAGCAGTGTGGAGTTGCTCTGAGACAGCAAGGAGAGCAGTCTCTGTGGAGTGGCCTGCCTTGAAACCTGACTGGTGGGGGTCAAGGAGGTTGTTACAGTGGAGATAGGAGGAGAGTTGGTTAAAGATCGCACGTTCAAGAGTTTTGGACAAAAAGGGAAGAAGAGAGACCGGTCTGTAGTTGTTTTTTTTCAGAAGGGTTGAGGGTAGGTTTCTTCAGGAGGGGGTTCAATTCAATTCAATTCATTTTATTTTGTATAGCCCATAATCGCAAATTACAAATCTGCCTCAGAGGGCTTTACAGTCTGTACACATACAACATCCTCTGTCCCGAAACCCACCATCGGCACAGAGAAAACTCCCCGAAAAATGAAAAAACCCTTCCATGAGGGAAAAAAGAGAGGAAACCTTAGGGAGAACGTCACCACAAACGTGTTCACCACATAACGTAACCCGAACCCTAACCTGGACACATGTTACAGAAAATGACCAACCAGGGGAAAATGCTTTGTAGAAACGAGGGGATGTCCGCTGAGTATTCGTCACTACAAACGTCCCTGCCCTTGTGTTAGCACGTGGGGCTTTCAGGTCACTCGCTGTTGGCTGATGAGTAGAACGACTTCCACGACCATGTTAGACCTCTGCCTTGTTTCAGCTGGAGGGATGAAAACGATTGGAGTTGATTACCATTGATCGACTCACATATTAATAACCTGTTCAAACAAAGGCCTGGGCCAAATTCCTCCTGACTGGGTTCCATGAAGAAGTTCTCTGGCCTTTTGCTCTTCTTTATTTCAACTAGGGCTATCAATAGGATTACATATTTGATCTCATAGCCCTCCCTAAGCCCTTCTTCCAGTTTAGCCTCAATGTTGTGAATTTGCTCGGTCCACGAAATGTTCATCCAAAAAATGTACTAATTAATCACACATTTGAATCATGAATCATTAATCATTGGGATTAATCGAGATTAAAAGTTTGGTTTTCTTCTAAACCGGCAGTTCCCAAACTCAAGAATGCCGCGGCCCAATTTGAAATCTGAAAATCTTTTGCGGCCCACCCGAACCTTTAATCACCACTCTGATCAAAACATAAACTAGGGATGATTAAATGACCTTAAGAATTTAACCGATTAAAAATGTATTAACCGACAATGTATGTTTTGTGTACCATTTTCTCCGGAGCTCATATATATTTACTTTAATACTACAAGAGGGCGCCCCATTTGACATATTTTTATATTCATTTCAAACTTTTCAAAATTGAAAATTAAAAACATTTTAATTATTTATTGTAAATGACCTCTCGCGGCCCACCTGCAGGCCCACACTTTAAGAATCGCTGTTCTAAACTAAAGACTCAAGACTAAATCTCATAAATGAACGAGTCAATCACTTTAGAAAGTGTGTATTTCTGACAGTTGTTTAATTATATTTTTACTACACACGTGTGATCATCTTGGAGGCAGAATTCCACCTGGTGAAACATGATGAACTCGCGATTCTTCCTGTTGTCCTCGTGCACTTTGCTCTCAACTCTCCATCATTTAACGGCTGTGTTTGAAGTGCCAACAATGTCCCCACTTTCAGCAGGACGCTTTCAAACCATCGTCTTTTAGGGACACAGTGGTGGTCGTGTGCAGGGTAACGTTAGATGTTGAGATGGAAGTAGCCTAGCAGCTACCAACATGTTCCGGGCACTTTCAGTCCTAAAGTGGTCCGTTTGCCACTCACCCCCCTTCTGTTTGACACGTGGAGGAATTCCTCTGCACGGTTCTACCGTATGTTTTACTTCCAATGGAAAAAGCTCTCTACATCTGACTGACGGGAGCGCGCGGCGGTTTTCTGTCAGGAGTCAACGCGAACTGGAAGTAAACAAAGCTGCGTTAGCTGCGTTAATACTCTATAGAGCTGCTTCAAACAAAGACACACCATCTGGAATCAGGTTATAAATAGATGGTCTAATTGGGTGTATGTGAACAAACTAACATTGACGAATCTCAAAGTATTGAGTTTGGCCCTCAGCCTTTGTTTAGTGGAGAGCCACAGCGTTGGATGAGCATGTTGTGGTCGGGAACAAATTCAAATCATTGAGACTAAACTGGAAGAGGAGCATAGCGCTGTGAGATAGAACATCTCTCTCTCCCTGTATTCACAACAAGGATGTTTGTTCAGGCCTGTGGTCATACGTAAGAACGCACGCTCACTGTGTTTAACGTCACTGTAATTAAAAACTAAACTGCTTTGCTGTTTTGATTTCCTGTCGGCAGACACATCAGCTGTTTCTTTTTTCATTCATCAACTAAAAAGGACCTTTTTGTTTCTCACAATTATAATGATATTACTTTTTATTGAATTTAGGTTGATCTGGTCCTCTGAGGGGTTGCATCACAAATATTTAATCATAAAAAAAGAAATTGCCTCAAACTAACAACCCCAACCTGGGAATAGTTGGTCTGTTGTGCAACGATTGCATCTTGCCTTAATGTTGCCTTGTTTCGTCTCACAGTAACATCTCTGATTGCACTGAGGTCAGAATGTGACACTAATGAGAGCAGGTGTGAAAGTTGCCTTGGCTGCAGAGGTACACAGCGACAGGTAATGGCCTTCATGCCGAAAGCTGTGAGGCCCAGTGGGTCTCAATGTGTGTGTGCATGTGTGTATGTCCATAACAACGACAACAAACTCAACTCCAACAAAAGTTTTGCACAGTGAACAGATACTTTCAAACTGGAACAAACATGAATAAACTGCAGATGAACATGTCATTGTCTCGTGTTATATTTGATTAAGAGCTAGAAATGATCATGTGAGCATTGATTACACTTAATATCAGCTCCAGTGCCATCACAAATACACCTGTATGTAGAACTATGATGACAATAAAGATCAACAGACCACGTAAGGTTGAACACTCGTTCACCATAGAAGGAATTATGCTCACAGCGTCATGAAATCTGGAAGGTCTGATAAAACATAAGATAAGATAATAGCAGCAATAAATGATATTTTTGATTTTAAATCAAGCATAAGTGCCTTTAAGGATGTAATGGAGCTACAATTGTGCATAACAAAAAAAACTCAAACTAGTTGGAGACATATGAGGCTGCTG